CCCCCATTCTTCCCTCCCCCTGAACTCCTGGCAACTGCTGACATTTTACTGTCTCTCCAGTTTTGTGTTTTCCCGGAACGTCATGTGGTTGGAATCATATGCTACACAGTGTCGTCACGCTGGCCCCTCTCACTGAGCAACAGGCATTTAGGGCTCCTCCATGTCTTTTCATGGTTTGACAGATCTTCTTTCTTTTTCTTTCTCACATACTTTTTGTTGATCGTGGTGACATACAGTACACATAACGTTCACAGTCATAATCGTTCTTAAGTGCACAATTCAGCGGCATTAAGTACAGTCACGTGGCTGTGCCGCCATCCCCACCATCCATCTCCGGAACTTATTCATCTTCCCAAACTGAAGCTCTGTCCCCATCGAACACCAGCTCCCCCCACCCCCCAGCCCCTGGCCCCTCCTTCTAATTTCTGTCTCTATGGATGTGACTCCTCCAGGGACCTCCTGTGAGTGGAATCAGACAGTATTTGTCCTTTTGTGACTGGCTTCTGTCACTCAGCACAGTGTCCTCCAGCTTCCTCCATGCTGTAGCCTGTGTCAGAATTTCCTTCCTTCTGAAGGCTCACTGATAAGGACGGACTTACTTCTGTCACATTGGTATTTGTTTTCTATATACCTTAGAGCTTGTCATCCCTCATTTCCTGCATTACTGTCCTTTGTGTTTAGCTAATTTTTTGCAGTGAAATATTTAAATTCCTTGCTCATTTCCTTTCATGTATATTCTATAGTTTTCTTTGTGGTTACCGTGGGGGTTACATTCAACATGCTGACGTTAGAACACTGTAATTTGGGTTTATACCAGCTTAACGTCAATAACATACAGAAACTCTGCTCCTTTATAGCCATCCCTACTTCTTTCAGTTGTTGACATCACAAAATGGCATTTTTATACCTTGTGTGTCCAAAAATATAAACTGATAATTTTTAAAATGCACTAGTCTCTTAAATTATGTAGAAAACAAAACATAGAGTTACAAATCAACATTATAATAATACCAGCTTTTAGACTAATAGTTGACTTTTTAAAAAATGTATTAATCTCACGGCTGGCCTGATGACATAGTGAGTAAGTTCACACGCTCGGCTTCTGGGGCCCGGGGTTCGCAGGTTCAGATCCTGGGCGTGGACCTAGAACCACTCATCAAGCCATGCTGTGGTGGCATCCCACATAAAATAGAGGAAGATGGGCACAGATGTTAGCTCAGGGCCAATCTTCCTCAAGCCAGAAAACGAAGAAGATTGGCAACACATGTTAGCTCAGGGCCAATTTTCCTCACACACATATACAAAAATGTACTAATCTCATAAATCATGTAGAAAACAAAAGTAGAGTTACAAACCATTGTTACAACAATACTAGCTTTTGTCATTGCCCATGTATTTGCCTTTCTTGGGACCCTCATGTCTCCATATGGCTTCCAGGGACTGCCTGTGCCCTTCCATTTCATTCTGCAGGACGTCCTTGGGCATTTCCTGCAGGGCAGGTCTAGTGTAATGAGCTCCCTCAGCTTTTGTTTATCTGGGAAGGTCTTAATTTCTCCCTCAGTTTTGAAGGACAGTTTTGCTGGATATAGGACTCTTGGTTGACAGTTTTCTTCGGTTAGCACTGTGAGTGTATCAGGCCACCACCTTCTGGCCTCTGAGCTCTCTGATGAGAAGTCTGCTTGTGATCTTCCTGAGGAGCCTCTGTATGTGACGAGTTGCTTTTCTCTTGCTGCTTTCAAGAGTCTCTCTTTGTCTTTCACCTGTTTCATGATAATGTGTCTTGCTGTGGGTCTCTCTGAGTTCATTCTAGTTGGAGTTCCTTGAGCTTCTCGGATGTCTATATGCATTTCTTTCATCAAATTTGTGAAGTTTTCAGCCATTATATCTTCAAATATTCTCTCTGCGCCTTTCTCTCACTCTTCCCCTCCTGGGACTCCCACAGTGAGTATGTTGGCCCAATGCTTGATGGTTCCTCACAGACCCCTTAGGCTCTGTTCAATTTTCTCCCATATTTTTTCTTTCTGTTCCTCGGACTCAATTGTCTCCATTGTCCTATATTCAAGTTTGCTGATTCTTTTTTCTGCTTGCTCCAATTTGCCTTTGAATCCCTCTAGTGACTTTTTCATTTCAGTTATTGTACTTTTTAGCACTAGAACTTCTTTTTGGTTTCTTTTTAGGTTTTCTATCTCTTTATTATTGATATTCCCATTTTGTTCATACAAGTACTCTTGCTGTCCCTTTGGCCCCATCTTACAGGCAAGTGGCAGGACCTGAACTCACACCCAGATAGTCTGGTTTGAGCCGGAGGTCTTAACCACAGCTCCTGCTTGCGCTGGCAATGCTTCTACATTAGTTACCCTCTACAGAGCACATCACCTGGGGCTTCCTGGTTAATAAGTTACTTAAGAAGATACAAGGGTTGGGGGTGGGAGGTAGGTGGAGGAAGACTCCGTCAGATGACATGAGTTAAAGTGAGACCATGCGTTTTAGCCTAAAAAGTAAAAAACAAAAAAACTCCTGAAATGAAAACTTTAACAACAAAAACCTCTCTCCATCTTGTTCAGAAAGCAATTAAGGTAACTAATTTTTTTTCGTTGCCAAGGAAGAGTTGCCCTGAGCTAACATCTGTTGCCAATCTTCCTCTTTTTTTTCTTTTGAGGAAGATTAGCCCTGAGCTAACTGCTGCCAATCCTCTTTTTGCTGAGGAAGACTGGCCCTGAACTAACATCCATGCCCATCTTCCTCTACTTTATATGTGGGACGCCTACCACAGCATGGCTTGCCAAGCAGTGCCATGTCTGCACCTGGGATCCAAACCGGTGAGCCCTGGGCTGCTGAGAAGCAGAACATGTGAACTTAACCGCTGTGCCACTGGGCCAGCCCATCTTTTTTTTTTTTTTTTCTTGAGGAAGATTAGCCCTGAGTTAACATCTGTGCCAGTCTTCTTCTATTTTGTATGTGGGTCCCCACCATAGCATGGCCACCAACAAGTGGTGTAGGTCCATGCCTGGGAACCAAACCCAAGCTGCCAAAGCAGAGCACACTGAACTCAACCACTAGGCCACAGGGCCAGCCCCTAAGGTAACTAGTTTTTATCACATACTACATTAGAGGAAAAAAGCCAAGATGGTCTCCTTTTCTTCAGCCCTCAACACTTGCTCAGTGCTTTCCAGGTGTTTATGAGTGCAGCACAAATTGTCCAGTAACCATGAACGCCTTCACAGTGTTCTGTAAGCCCCTCCTGGTTCATCTCCCACTTCTCCCCACCCCTTGCTCATGAGTTTCCAGCTCTTCTTGAACATAAGAACACCAAGTGCAGTCACACCTCAGGGCCTTTGCACTTGCTGCTTCTTCTGCCTGAAAGCTCCCCCACACACACCTCCCATATACCTGCCTGGCTCCATCTCTTCATTCTGGGCCCTGCTCAGCATCACCTCTTTAAAAAGATGTTTCCTGACCGCGCTGTCTGAGATCACTCTCCAGTCTCTTGCCCTGCTTTGTTTTGCTCCCAGTACTCATTGATGTTTTCTCTGTCCATGTCCCGCAATGGACGAAGAGCTGAGGGACGGGGTCTGTCTCTCTGTCCACCACCACCTCTCCAGTGCCCTGCACACAGGACACATGCAGTCAATGTCATGGACTGAATGTTTGTGCCCCCCGCCACACACACACAAATTCATGTGTTGAAATCCTAACCCCTAATGTGATGGCATTTGGAGGTGGGGCCTTTGGAAAGTGGAGCCCTCACGACCGGGATTAGTCACCTTATAAAGGGACCCCAGAGAGGTCTCTCTACCTCTCTTTCCACCATGTGAGGACACAGCGAGAAGATGTCCCTCTATAAACTGGGAAGAGAGCTCTCACCAGACATCATAGCTGCCAACACCTGGATCTTGGGCTTCCGGGCCTCCAGAACTGTGAGAACTAAATTTCTGTTGTTTACACGTCCCCCGGTCCCTGGTATTGTGTTAGAGCAGCCCGAACGGATTGAGACAGTCATTATTTGTAGCTAAATGAAAGAATCTACGTCCTGCCCCTTATGTTCTGTAGAGAGGACTCTGAGGTGACCGCACAGTTACAGCCCGATTTGATGCAAATAGCAAATCCTGCCCACTCACTATCAACAGTTGGCACCTACTAGACGCCAGGCATTAGGTCCCAGTGGCCGTAGATTATATTTAGGCTTCTTGCCATCACAGTGCTACTTTTTCAAAGAGTAAGATTCCTAATTGTTTCTGCTCTTGCGACCATAGCTTGCAGGCTGTTCCACGGTGACATGTGGTCAGCGGAAGGTCCCTTCACCTGTGTGACTTCAGGCCATTGCTCCCTGAAGCTCTGCTTTGAAAGGCTGCCTTGCAAAAGAGTCAAGGCCCAATATGAGCCTTTCTGTTCTTCAAACATTGTCAACTTGACCTACCGAGATGGAAATTGTTGAAATGGAGATAGAAAATGTGCCAGTATCTCCTCCCACCCCGGCTCTACCTTGGTCCCTGTGAAACCACGTTCTTGGAGGGATGCTGGGATGTTGAGAGGGTACAATGTTACCATGGAGACGACTGAGACTGGTCCTATGAACCATGATCTCAGAGGGATGCATGTGACATTGATACGGTGCAAGGTTACCATGGAGACGGCTGGGCCTGGTTCTATTAGCTGCAGTCATGGGAGCTATTATCCTGGCGAAAAGAGTGTACAAATTAACATGCCAGCAGCTCCTAGGATATGTGACTGCCAAAAAGTCTGTGTTAGTTTGTGTTTCCACTGCCAGATCAGCAAATATCTCCTGGAACCATCATGAAGAGGGAATATGCAAAATCACCAGAAAGGATGTCAGCAAACCTTCCAGGCTACCCTCTTGTTGAATGTTTGTTCTGGAGTAACAGCAGGATAAAGCAGAAATGTTTGCACCTTAGTTTTAAGTATAAATGCAAAAGAAAACAAATAAAGCAAAGAAGAGAAAAAGCCCACCGTGAAATTTCATATTTGGGCCACAAACCAACCTGGAGTAAAGGCAGAGCAGGGGGCTACGCCGCTGTGGGTTATAAACCCAGGCTGTTGAGCAGAATTTGAGTTTCATTTCTGTGCGCTCACTGTCACCCATCTCAAGGGAAATCTCTATCGTTATCAGACGTGGCAGCCAGCATCACTCGCTCTGATGAGAAGACAACAAAAACAGATGTGATGACAGCTGCTGTGCACGACAGGCTGGTGGTCCCTCAAAAAGTTGAAAACAGAATTACTGGATGATCCAGTAATGACACTGCTGGGTATAGATTCAAAGGAACTGAAAGCAGGGACTCGAATAATGCTGCTTTGAACCTGTGCGGCCAAAAGGTAGAAGGAACCCGAATGTCCACTGACAGATGACTGGACACACAAAATGTGGACCGTCCATCCGGTGGAATATTATGCAGCCTTCAAAAGGAAGGACGTTCTGACCCACGCTACACCATGGATGAACCCAGAGTGAAATAAGCCAGACACAAAAAGACAAATACTGCTTGATTCCACTTAGATGAAATATGTAGAACAGGAAAATCCATAGCGACAGAAAGTAGAAGGTGGAGGCCGGGGGCTGGGGGAGGAGAAATGGGGAGTGACTGCTTACTGGGGACAGAGGTTCAGTTTTAGAAGATGAAAATGTCACGGAGACAGATGGTGGGGATGGTGTCACAACAGCGGGAATGTGCTTAATGCTACTGAAGTGGACACTTACAAATGATTATGATTACAAATTTCATGTTATGTGCATTTCACCACAATTAAGAGAAAAGTATGCTTGTGAAGTCGTATCTTCTTGTGGGTTTGATCTGCATTTCCCTAATGACTGGTGTTGTTGAGAACATATTGTTAAATTAGAAATTATTGGGGGCCAGCCCGGTGGTGCAGCGGTTAAGTTCGCACGTTCTGCTTTGGTGTCCCAGGGTTCCCTGGTTCGGATCCCGGGTGTGGACATGGCACCTCTTGGCAAGCCATGCTGTGGCAGGCATGCCACATATAAAGTAGAGGAAGATGGGCACGGATGTTAGCTCGGGGCCAGTCTTCCTCAGTAAAAAGAGGAGGATTGGCAGCAGATGTTATCTCAGGGCTGATCTTCCTCAAAAAAAAAAAAAAAAGAAAGAAAAAAAATTATTCAAGGCCACAGAGGAAGTATCCAGAATTGTACGGCAGACGGTATCATGTTCGGAGGCGGCAGCGATGCTCAAGCTGGTTCTTCTCCACGCTCTGTGCTCCAGCACGACATCTGTCTTCTTAAAACAGAAACAAACGGCTTGCTCCCCTGCACACACGCTCAGCCACGCGAGGCAGCGCCACACACCTGCGCACATGGGCTGGCCCGGGGCCGGACACAGGGTTCAGCCGGGGCAAGAGGGGGGCCAGCTGCGAGCCCACTCCTGACGCTCGACAGCTCGGACGCTCCGAGTTCTCATCTTCCCAGAGAGCGGCGTGCTGAGGCCGGTCCCCTCTCACAGCCCCCACGGGTCCCCACCTTTGCCTGAACTCCTGTTCCTTCTACAGCTGTCACCTGCAGCATCATTCGAAGGGGGAGCCCTCCCAGGGCCCAGCCTCTCGTCAGACACTGCCTTCAGAGCACCTGTCACAGGAGGCCCGACAGCGATTCCTCCACTGGGACCCTCATGTCGCATCTCCAACCTGACACAGAGACGTCGGGACGTGCTCTGTCTCCTTTGCTGGAGAAACATTTGGTGAACTCAAGCTATGATAGGACTTTTTAAAAAAAATTAGTTCCAGGTGCTGGCCTGGTATCATACTGGTTAAATTCATGCACTCTACTTTGGCAGCCTGGGATTCGTGGGTTCGTATCCTGGGTTCAGACCTACACACCGCTAAGCCATGCTGTGGTGGGGTCCCACATACGAAATAGAGGAAAGCTGACACAGATGTTAGCCCAGGGCCAGCCTTCCTTAGGCAAAAAGAGGAAGATTGGCAACAGATGTTAGCTCAGGGCCAATCTTCCTCACCACAAAAACAAAAACAAAAAACTAAACTGTTTATTTTTCAACCTCAAAATATACTGCATTATTACTAGTATTTCAAATTCAACATTCATTTTGATTTACCCACATTTACCACTTTTTTTCACTCAACATATCTTCTTGGCTCTCAGCTCTTCCCTCTGGGATCAATTTTCTTCTGCTTGAACAGCACCCTTTAGAATTTCTTTTTTTTAAATTTTTTTGCTGAGGAAGATTCGCCCTGAGCTAACATCTGTTGCCAATCTTCCTCTTTTTGTATGTGAGCTGCTGCCACGACGGATTGGCCTCTGACAAGTGGTGTCGGTCAACACCCGGGAACAGAACCTGGGACCCCGGAGTGAAGCATACGGAACTTAACCACCAGGCCACCAAGGCTGGCCCTAGAATTTCCTTGGAGGAAGGTCTGCTGGTGGCAAACTCTGTCAGTTTTTATTTGCCTGAAAATGACTTCACTGTGTTCTTGAAAAGCTGTCTTTAGCACAAAGTTGACTTCAGTTTTTTGTTTTTTAAAGGTTGGCACCTGGACTAACATCTGTTGCCAGTCTTTTTTTTTTTCTCTTCTTCTCCCCAAAGCCACCCCAGTGCATAGCCGTGTATTCCAGTTGTGTGTGCCTCTGGTTGTGGCATGTGGGACGCCGCCTCAGCATGGCCTGATGAGCGGTGCCATGTCTGTGCCCAGGATACGACCCAGAGAAACCCTGGGCTGCCAAAGTGGAGCGTGACCTTAACCGCTCGGCCACGGGGCAGCCCCTTGACTTTGGTTTTTGAAAATCAGTTCCTTGAAGACAGGATTCCCCGTCTTCTGGCCTCCAGTGTCACTTTCGCAATGTCCGTGGTCAGTGTGATTGTTGTTTTCATTCTGGCCGCTCTTACAGTCCTCTCTGTTTTTGATGTCCTACAGTTTTATGACAGCTGATCTAGTGGAGAAGTTGTTATTGGGATAAAGTGTAAACTGAGGTACAACACGGTACAGGGCGGAATCACCCACAGGGAGGCCTGGCCTCTGTCCTGGCTCCTGGGAGGCGGCCTCTTCACCCCTGGGACTCCTGAGTGACAGGAATGGGTATTCACGGTGGGCCCCCTGGAACACACCCGACAGTTTACACCAACTCGATGACTCACGGTGGGTCCCAGGATGGTAATGCCAAGGCCATGACTCAGGGTGGGTGATCGCCCCGCCAGGAAGGCCAACCACTGATCAGCTGGATGGGGCCTGGGCCAAGCGGGGGCTGGAGATCGAGTCACGTGGGCAATGACTCAATCAATCATGGAACAATTCCATTAATGCCTCCTACTAGTGAAACGCCAGGACAAACTCAGAGCACCGAAACGGGGTGCACTTTCCTGGTTGGCGATAATCTGTGCGTGTTGTCGCAGGTCCATGTGGCGGGAGGACGATGCACCCGAGGACGACAGAAACTTCTGCAAGTTAACCCGTGTCAGCCACGGTCAACGCTGGAGAAACGTTTGCTGAGAGATGCAGAGGACTCCTTTTTTCTATGTATTTTCTATGTTTTTTTCTTCTTTAACTCCTCCATGATTGCCTTCTTTTGTGTTTGATTGATTTTTTTCCAGTATGTCATTTTTGTTGTTGTTTTGTTTTTATTGAGTTCATAACAGTTTACATCGATGTGAGATTTCAGTTGTACATTATTTCTTGACTGTCACCACATAAGTGTTCCCCTCACCACCCCCCGTGCCCAACCCCCACTCCTTCCCCTCGTAACCACTGAACTGTTTTCTTTGTCCCAGTACTTGTTTATATTCCACATGTGAGTGAAATCATCTGGTGTTTGTCTTTCTCATACTGCCTTATTTTGCTTAGCATAATTCCCTCCAGGTCCTTCCATGTGATTGCAAATGGGATGAGTTTGTCTTTTTTTCTGGCTGAGTAGTATTCCATTGTGTATATACACCACATCTTCTTTATCCAATCATCAGTCAGTGGGCGCTTGGATTGTTTCCATGTCTTGGCTATTGTGAATAGTGCTGCAATGAACATAGGGGTGCACATGTTACTTTGGATTGTTGATTTCAAATTGTTTGGGTAGATACCCAGTAGTGGGATAGCTGGGTCGTATGGTAGTTCTATTTTTAGTTTAGTTTTATGTTTTTTTCAGGAAGATTAGCCCTGAGCTAACATCTGCTGTCAATCCTCCTCTTTTTGCTGAGGAAGACTGGCCCTGAGCTAACATCCGTGCCCATCTGCCTCTACTTTATATGTGGGACGCCCACCACAGCATGGCTTGCCAAGCGGTGACATGTCTGAACCCGGGATCTGAACTGTCGAACCCTCGGCTGCCAAAGTGGAACATGTGCACTTAACCGCTGCACCACCGGGCTGGCCCCTATTTTCAGTTTTTTGAGGAGTCTCCATACTGTTTTCCATAGTGGCTGCACCAGTTTGCATTCCCACCAGCAGTGGATGAGGGTTCCCTTTTCTCCACACCCTCTCCAACATTTGTTATTTTTTGTTTTGCTGATAATGGCCATTTTAACATGTGCGAGGTGAAATCTCAGTGTGGCTTTGATTTGCATTTCCCTGATGATCAGTGACGTAGAACGTCGTTTCATGACACAAGCTCAGTTTTTTGAGAACAAGACCCACAGCGCTCCCCACTCCCCTGGAGATGCCATCAGCCCCATGGGCTAAGTGCTCTGTCTCAGCAGACTGCCTCCCCGTCCCTTTGATGCCAATCACAAGTTCAGGCTGTCACCTGTGCTTCTGACCGACCGCTGTAAAGCAGAGGTTCCCGGGCCCGTGTCCTCAGCTTCAATTAATTTGCTAGAGTGGCTCACAGAACTCAGAGGAGCGTTTCACTCACTAGGTTCCTGGCTGATTACAGGATACGGAAGGATATGAACCAACAGCCATGTGAAGAGACACACAGGGCGCGAGGTCCTGAACGCAGGCGCCTCTGTCCCCATGGAGTGTGGGGCTGCATCGGTTCACCGCCCCAGAATCCCACTGACCCCGTCCTTTGTAAGGAGGCTTCACTACTCAGGCAGGACTGATTCACCCTCCAGCCGGGTCCCCTTCCTGGGAGGCCGGGGGTGAGGGGGTGGGGCTGACAGTTCCAACCCTCTAGTCACAAGGAGGGTTCCCATGGCAACCAGCCCCATCCCTCAGGGCTTTCGACTCGTCACCTCGTTAACATAAACTCAGGGGTGGTGGAAAGGGGCTCGCTCTGAATATCAAGACTCTCTCATCGCTCTCATCTTCTCGCATATTCCAAGGGTCCTAGGAGCTCTCTGCCAGAGACGGGGAAGACCAACGTGTGTTTCTTACTGTGCGTCACAACATCCCAGGACAGGACCACTACAGTTTCCAGAAGAACCGGAGGAGCAGGTGGGAGACACCGAGGAGGTGAGGACGGGTCTGAGCGTGCGGCCTGAGCACGGAGGGCGGTGCTGCAGCTGACTGACGGGCCAGCCTGTTCTGTTTTTATATAATGTACGAACTTCAAACTAATTAAAAATCACTCACACTTTGATAATCCTTCTCACCTGCCAAACACCTTTTAAATCCTAACCCTAGGTGTGGATGGTGGCTCAGGTGAATTATTTGACTGGTGTTCACCGAGCACCTGCTCTCAGGGCTCAAGTGCTGGTGGAGGGGGCATGAGGGCCAGAGGAGACGGGCTGCAGGCGGAGTAAATAAGGAAAGCAGAGAGTGCGTCAGGAAGGAAGAAGTGCTAGGAGGAATGGAAAAGCAGGGTAAGGGAGTTGGGAGGGTCTGTAATACTAAATCTGGTGTCCAGAGAGGTGAGATTGGAGCCAAGGTCTGAAAGAGCTGGAGGAGCAGCCATCTGGAGAAAGAATGCTCCAGGTAGAAGGACAGCAGGTGCAAAGGCCCTGGGGTAGGGCTGTGCCTGGCAGGCTGGAGAAGTAGCTAGGAGGCCAGTGTGGCTGGAGTGAGCGAGTGAGTGGGGACTGGCGGGGGTGAGGGCAGCGGGCCTTGTGGGCCACTGTAAGGACTTGAGCTTGGGTGAATGCAGCCACTGGTCCAGTCCTTCCAGCCTAAGAAGATCCCAGAGGCTCTGATTTCAGAAGCAAGAAACGCTGTGTTCACCTTGCCGGGCAAAAATAATCCATGGCTTCTTCCACTTTATTCTCCTAGGAGATTTAAATTCGGAAAAGCATCTAAATCCAGCCACGCTGGGGAGTCTGGGAGGGCCCAGGCAGGCCACTTGGCCATGTCTGATAACAACACATCACAGGGCCCAGCAGGTGATGGTGAAAGGACACCAGCCGTGGGCCGCTCTCAGTAGGCCGGCTCCAGGGTGGCACCGTGAGTGAGCGCTGACCCAGGACCGCGGGGCTTTCACACCCATCCTGTCCTGTGGGACTCGGCACTGATCCCAGAAGGGCCGGTGACGACAGCCTCGTGATGGGGACCTGCACGTCCCCTGCAAACACAGCTGTCGTGATCTCAGCCGGAGCACAGTCTGCAGGATGCCCCGGGGCCATGGGAGCCGTCGGCATCACCCAGGGCTGCGGCCCTGCGCACGGACTCGCCCGTCTCAGCAGGCACCACGCTGGGCCTGGGACCCGGGCTGCGCTCGGCTGAGCTTGGCCCCTCGATCTGCATTTCTTACGGCGTATGAGGGTTTTTTGTTAATCGGGGTAAAATATGCATAACAGAAAACTTACCGTTGGAACCATTTTTAAGTGTCCACTTCAGTGGCATTAAGTGCATTCACATTGCTGTGCAGCCACTACCCACATCTGTCTCCAGAACTTTCTCATCTTCCCAAACTGAAGCTCTGTCCCCATTAAACACCATCTCCGCCCCCCCGCCCCCCAGGCCCTGGCCCCACCTTCTCCTTCCTGTCTCTGTGGATGTGGCTCCTCTGGGGACCTCCTGTGGGTGGAATCACACAGCATCTGGCCTCCTGTGTCTGGCTTATTCCACCCAGCATAATGTCCTCCAGGGTCATCATGGTGTGGCATGGGGCAGAACTCCCCGCCTTTTTTTTCCCCCCTTTTTTCTCCCCAAAGCCCCCTGGTACATAGTTACATATTTTAGTTGTGGGTCCTTCTAGTTGTGGCATGTGGGACGCCGCCTCAGCATGGCCTGATGAGCAGTGCCATGTCCACTCCCAGGATTTGAACCAGCAAAACCCTGGGCCACCAAGTGCACGAACTTAACCACTCGGCCACGGGGGCGGCCCCCAGAGAATTTCCTTTTTAAGGCTGAACAAACTTCCACTGTCTGGCTGGACTGCATTCTGCGTGTCCATCCATCTGTGATGGACGCCTGGGCTGTTTCCACCTCTTGGCAATTGGGAGTCACGCTGCTGTGGACATGGTAGTACAAATATCTCTGTGAGCCCCTGCTTTCCACTTTTTAAATTATATGCCCCAAAGTAGAATTGCTAGATCCTGTGGTAATTCTACTTCTCGGTTTGTGAGGAACCTCCACACTGTTCTCCAGGGCGGCTGCACCATTTTACCTTCCCACCGACGGTGCCCAAAGGCTCCGATGTCCCCCCATCCTCGCCCACATCGTTTTCTGTTGTCTTGGTAGTCGCCACGCTAATGGGTGTGAGCCGGTTGTCACTTCCGAGTGGTAAGAGGCCGCTCTGCCTTCCTGGAAGTGTGTCACCAGTTCACAAAGACACTGGAGCAGCCCCAGCGAGACTAAGAGGCCGATAAACCCGGACAGGGGAACCTTTCCCCTGGGAGAGGCAGAGGCGTAGAGGCCCCACCCTCGAGTGTCCCCAAGGTCACCCTGCTGGCGGGAGCGCACGCGCGGTGGGTTCCCAGCACTGGCTCCCTGGGCAGACAGGTCGTCCCTTCTCCAGTTCAGGGTTGGACAACCTGTTCTGCCACAGTCCCGCCGAGGCCACTCCCAGGCTGAATTTGCGCTGCAGAATGAGGGCAGCGGACGATGGGAGGAGAAGGGAGGGGAGGGGCAGACAGGAGGCGGATGGAGAGCGCCAGTGGGACAACCACCTGGGGTTTTGTCACCCCCACGCCCTGGGGCAGAGTCCACTGGCCATGCGTGTGTGTGTGTGTGTGTGTGTGTGTGTGTGTGTGTGTGTACAAACCCCCGGGGCTGGGGTGACGAGTCACTCCCGTATGGTCTGGCCATGAGCAGGTGAAGGCAGAGGATGGTTAGAAGCTGCCCGGATCAGTGCTCTTCAACGGGCGATGATTTGTCCTCCAAGGGACATCTGGCCGTGTCTGCAGACATTTTTTGGTTGTCAGAACTCGGGGGGGGGGGGGTGATTTTTGTTTCATGGGAAGTACTTCTATTTCAAAAAGTATTAAAGGCATCCTGAAACCTTGCCCAGGATTCGGGACCTATAAGCCTACAGAGCAGATGCATAAATAACAAACTCTGCCCCCCGCCCCCCGGGGCTGGACCCGGATGCTGGACGCTGGGGGGAGGGTGCTGTTTTTCACACGAAAGTCTCTGAAGTCACATAAACATGGAACACTTTGCACTAGTAGCTCAGCACTAAATACGAGTCAGTGAATCTTCCTGAGTTTGTCTTGTAGATGGATAAAGTCCTGAAAGTTCAACACGCAAAGATGGTCCCGCCCGGTCGGCCCAGCCTCTGTCCCCATCAGTGCGCAGATCTCCAGATGTGGGGGGTGTCACAGCCTAGAACTGGCACCCAGGGGATGCAGGGAGGGCAGGGCAGGGCCAGGGAAGGGGGCAGAGGTTTCTGAAGGGTCCTCGCTGCTCCTAGACCCCCCGCTGGAGGCTGGAGGGGACTGCTGTGGCCAAGGCTGCCGCCCAAACCATCATGTGAGCAGCTGCCGGACGGTGGGATGGTCAGTGACGTGGTGGCCAGCCACAGCAAAGCACCAAAAAGAAGAGAAAGAACAGGAGCCTAGGGCCCCGGCCCCGAGCGAGCTTCTGCAGGGAAGGCCACACAGAGGCCCGAGCCCCCAGGTGGCACCTGGGAGTGAGCCCAGGCTGCGGCCCTCAGTGGTGGCTAGAGGTCAGGGGCGCTGCTCAGCCCCCCCAGTCATGAAACGGCTCCCAACAGAGGACTATTCGACCCCAAACGTCAGGGACGCTGCGGCTGAGACCCTCAGCCTTAGATCGTCTTCTAAGAAGCCCTTGAGAAAATGGGTCCGTGTGGGCCAAACTCCAACCTCCACCTGCTGCTTACCCCCAGGCAGACGGGGGAGAGGGGCTGCAGTTTGGACGTTCTCAGACTACACCCCCTGTGGCCAGCTGCACCCCGGCAAAGGGGAGAAGGCGGAGCCCTCTGCCAGCCCGGGGACGAAGACTGAATTTGTCAGCATCTCCACACCAAAGATGTTCAGAGAGTGTCCAGCGAACTACGCCCTGGTGCTTGCACATTTCCAGTCTGTTTTGGTGATGTGAGGGTTAATTTTATGTGTCAACTTGGCTGGGCCACAGTGCCCAGAGATATTTGGTCAAACGTGATTCCAGATGTTTCTCTGATGGTGTTTTTGGTTGAGATGCATTTAAATCAGTAGACTCTGAGTAAAGCAGACTGCCCTTCATCAAAGGTGGGCCTCGTCCGATCAGTTGAAAGCCTGGATAGAACAAAAGACTGACCTTCCCCAGGCAAGAGGGGATTCTGCCAGCAGGCGGCCTTGGGGCTCCACCCACAGCCCTGGCTCTCCCTGGGCCTCCAGCCTGCCAATTCTGCACTTGCCAGCCTCCATGTCACCTGGGCCAATTCCTTAAAAATCAAGCTCGTATCAGTCAGCTCGGGCTGCTCTAACAAAACACCATACACTGGGTGGCTGAAGCAACAGATTTATTTTCTCACAGTTCTGGAGACTGGGAAGTTCAAGATCATGGTGCCAGAAAATTCACTTTCATAGTCACGGCTTCTAGAGAGACACCTCCTTGCCGTGTGCTCACAGGGCAGAGCGGGGGGGGGGGGGGGGGGGGGGAGGGGGATTGGAGAAAGTGAGAGAGAGCGAGATGGAGAGATGGAGCCCTCAGGTGTCTCCTCTTATAAGGACACTAATCCTAGCAGGTCGAGGCCCACCCCACGACCTCACTAAACCTTAATTACCTCCTTGCGGGCCCATCTCCAAGTACAGTCACATTCGGGGTTAGGGCTTCACCATATGATCCAGGGGGACACGATTCAGTCCACAGCGCGTCTCTATATGCTCCTCCGATCGGCTCTGTCTCCTGGGAGAACGCTGACTGACCCTCTAAAACCCCCGCCCAGCACTGCCTGTCACAGCCCATTGCACAGTGACAACGGTCACCCAGGGTCCGCTCCCCTCCATGGCTCCCCATGCCACCGGCAGACAGGGCAGGCTCCTGCCCCGTCTCTGGCTCTGCTTTTCCTTCGGTCCTCTGCAGCACACGGCAGGGCGCAGGGCGCAGGGTGAAGGGCACAGACACCAGTGATCACCTGCCTGGTGCAAATCATGCCAGCTCTGCCAGGGCTGTGTGGACCTGGGGTGGATTATTACCCCCTCTGTGCCTCAGTCCAACAATAACGTGGGCGATGGGAGGAGACACGTCATAGGGCGTGGTGAGGATCATGAACATATATAAATAGGCTTTAGGGGGCTGCCCCGTGGCCGAGGGGTTAAGTTCGTGCGCTCTGCTTCGGTGGCCCAGGGTTTCACGGGTTCGGATCCTGGGCACGGACATGACACGGCTCATCAAGCCATACTGAGGCGGTGTCCCATATAGCACAAGTAGAAGGACCCACAACTAGAATATACAGCTATGTACCGGGGGGCTTTGGGAAGAAGAAGAAGAAGAAAAAAAAGAAGATTGGCAACAGATGTTAGCTCAGGTGCCAATCACTAAATAAATAAATAAATAAATAAATAAATAGACTTTAGGTTTCACGGAAGTTGTAGGACTACAGAAAATTGAGCAGAGAGTACAGAGTTCCCAAATATCTCCTGCCCCCGCCCCCGCCCTACAGTTTGCAGGTTCCCGTTAGTAACGTCCTGTGTTAGCGGGGAACATCTGTTACAACAGAACCAATACTGATACACGATGATTAACTCAAGTCCTTGGCTTATATTAGGGTTCATTTGGGGTTGCACATTCTAGTTTTTAATAGTCTTTAGTTTTTAGACCAGCTTTAGGTTCACAGCAGAACTGAGCAGATGGTACAGAGATTTCCCACCCCCCACCCCCACCCCCAACTATCAACATCCCCAGAGGACTGGTAGCCATGTTGCAATTTCTATTTGTCCTTTGGTGTCTGGCTTATTTCATTGAGCATCACGTCCTCAGGGTTCATCCATGTTGTAACATGTTAGCATTTCCTTCCTTTCCCACCCACGCCCCCGGTTTTGTTTTGTTTGGTTTTGTTTTTTTGAGGAAGATTAGCCCTGAGCTAACATCTGCTGCCAATCCTCCTCTTTTTGCTGAGGAAGCCTGGCTCTGAGCTAACATCCATGCCCATCTTCCTCTACTTTATATGTGAGACACCAACCACAGCATGGCGTGCCAAGTGGTGCCGTGTCCGCACCGGGGATCTGAACCAGTGAACCCCAGGCCACCGAAGTGGAACATGAGAACTTAACGGCCGCACCGCTGAGCCAGCCCTAGCATTTTCTTCCTTTTTACGGCTGAATAATATTCCATTGTCTGTATATACTACACTGTCCATTCATCTGTCTATGGACACCTGGGTTACTTGCACATTTTGTCGATGTATATTTAGAGTATGTTTGTATATTGTAAATATACTGGCTATTGGCTGTACATTTACAGTAGACAAGATGTTCAGAGACAGGCTGCTCTGAAAATGGGTGTGCAAATATCTATTCGAATCCCCAAATACAAAACGATATACAGTCTCACAGCCAGGATATCTACATATACTTTTCTGCTATGTTTTTTCCCCCAGGTCTATTGACGTATAACAGCCAGGATATTGACACTGAGACAATTCATTGCTCTTGTTCCGATTCTTTCAGGTTTCCTTGTACTCATTTGTGTGCACCTGTGTATTAAGTTCTAAACAATTTTATCACGTGTGGGTTTGCGTATCCACCCCCATAGTCAAGACAGCAAACAGTTCCAACACCGCTGGAGCCCTAGTTCAGCCCGTTTACAACCACACCCACCTCCCTCTGGCAACTGCTAATGTGTCTTCCAACATGAAAAAATGTTGCCATTTCAAAGTGTTACAGAAACAGAATCAGACAGTATGTAACCTTTTGTAATTGGTCTTTTTTTTTCAGCGTAATTCCCTAGAGAGTCATTCGTCCAGATTGTTGCATTCGCTTGCTTTGATTGACAAGTAGTATCCACAGTGCTGACGGACCGCAGTTTGTTTAACCACGCGCCTTGTGAGGGACACCCGGGCTGATTCCGGTTCTTCCTGGGCTGTTACAGACAAAGCTGCTGTGAGCATTCATGCACAGGTTTTTGTGTGAACACGTTTTCGTTTCTCTAGGATAAACGCCCAGGAGTACACTTACTGGGCCGTGTGATAGCTGTCTGTTTAGTTTCTTCTGAAAGTGCTCAACTGTCTTCTGAGCGGCTTGACCATTCACATCCCCACCTGCTGTGCATTCCCACGTGGTCCAGTTTCTCTGCATCTTCGCCAGCCTTGGTGTTGTCGCTGATTTTTATTCCAGCCATTCTGAGAGGTCTGATTTCTCACTGTGGTTTTAATGTACATTTCCCTAACGGCTAGTGATACTAACTAAACACCTTTTCATGTGCTTATTTGCCATCTGTCTATCCTCTTTGGTGAAATGTCTAAATATATGAAGCCTAGACCAAATTATATGTACGGTGCGTGTATATATATAAACCATTGTTGTTGATTACTTTTTTTTTTGAGGAAGATTAGCCCTGAACTAACATCTGCTGTCAATCCTCTTTTTGCTGAGGAAGACTGGCCCAGAGCTAAGATCCGTGCCTATCTTCCTCTACTTTATATGTGGGATGCCTGTCACAGCATGGCTTGACGAGCAGTGCCATGTCCGCACCTGGGATCCGAACCAGCGAATCCTGGGCTGTCAAAGTGGAATGTGCAAACTTAACCACTGTGCCACCGGGCCGGCCCCTGATTACTCTTGATTGAAGCCCAAAGTGTAACAATTCAGGACTAGTGTCCTAGAAGAGCTTAATAAATTCAACCTAAAATAAAACATCCTGGAGTAAGAATAAAACATCCATAAAATTATGACAAATGTGGGTGGTTAGCCTTCTCCTTGTGGTTGCCGGCAGTGGCATGCTTTAGTGCAAGCGTTATGTGACATGCCAGTTGTCTACTGTGTTGAATTACAGCCAGGGCTGCCTGCCATTGCTCTGGGCTTGTAATTTAGCAGGACTCCTCCTGTTTTCCACACTACACATCTCATTGCTTCATCTGGGGAAATCGTTTTCTTGTGAGGCCCATTTTTCAGGGCAGTAGGTCATGTTTGTGGAATAAATACACATTTGGTTAATAAATGATTTCATTTTCCAAGAAAGATCTGAAGAGATTATTGAAAGAGTCTTCACTTTACAGCAGCAAAGGAAGAGGGTGCGTTTTACGTTTGCACATACTAGACATGCGTGAGCTTTTTATTTCAAGCCCTCAACACTGAGTCAAAAGAGAGAAGACCATTCTTCTCTGTAATGGTTCATTTTATGCCTCAGCTCGGCTAGGCCATGGCCCTCAGTTGTTTGGTCAAATACCAGCCTAGGTGTTGCCGTGGAGGTAGATTTTTAGATGTGATTATAATGTTGAAACCAGTTGAGTAAAACGGGTGACCCTGCATGACCTGGGTGGGCCTCATCCAATCAGTTGAAGGTCTTAACAGCAAAGACTGAGGTTTCCCAAAGACGCAGCAATTCTCCTCAAGACTGTAGCAGAGAAACCCTGCTTGAGTTTCCAGCCCTGCAGGATTCGGACTCGAGACCGCAACATCAACTCTTCCCTGACTTGCCAGCCTCTGCAATCGCATGAGCCAATTCCTTAAAATAAAGCTCTCCCTACCTATCAGATATATATGTATATTCTCTATTTATATATATATGTTCTGTTTCTCCAGAGAAACAGGATCAATAGGGTGCATATATATGTATATCCAACATCCTATTGATTCTGTATCTCTGGAGAACCCTAACACGTCCTCTGAGCCACCCAAAAAATATGACAAACTCCCACCTAACAAGGTGACAGATACACAAGGACGTGGACGTGGACACAGGCTCTGAGAGGGCTAAGACCAACTGGGAAGGTTATTTTCGCCATGTGGGGAGGGATGTCGCAAACCTCTGGTCTCCTCCGCACCCCCTGCATTCACAGCACCCTTCCCCGCACCTCACAGTCTGCTTCCCACCTGGGAAGGCGGAGTGGCAGCTGCCATTGCCCCAGGCAGCCAATCGGAAGGTGCCTTGGGCGCTGCGCATGAGATGAGCCTGACGATGTGACTCCAGGCCAGGGCCTGGTCACTCTCCCTCCTGGCATCTGAGAGGCTGGGGGATAACCCCGAGGCCTCAGGAAGCATCTCGTCAATGGAAACCCTCATTCCGTACGAGGAGGCAGCATTGAGTCACCCTGAGACTCCCTCCGTGGTGCCCATGCACTCACTCATCCTGTCTTCCGCGCACCAGGCACCAGGTGCTGTCCCAGGTGCTGGGGAGGTGTGGGTGATGGAGACAGACCCAGAGCTGACAGTCCAGCAGGGCAGACGAATAGCGCAGACTAAATAAATGGGAATGCAGGAGGGGCGTCTGCAGCATTACACGGGGCCTCTAGGAGCCAGGCAGGTGTCAGGAGCCCCTGGGCAAAGGCCCTGGGGCAGGACCTAGGTCTGAAGACTAGTGAGCAAAGAGGCCAGTGACGGGAGAGGGATGAGCCAGGAGAAGGATAGTCGGAGATCAGGTCCGGGAGGGAGCGAAGGCCTGTAGCCTCTGTGAGGACTGGCTCTGGCTTTTTAAATTTGTTTATATTTTTTTTAATAAACTTTATTTTTTAGAGTGGTTTTAGGCTCACAGCAAAACTGAGCAGAACGTCGAGTGTTACCACACACACTCCCTGCCCACTATCACAGCCTCCCCCTCCGTCAACATCCCCGCCGGAGGGGACGGCTTGTGACCACTGATGAACCCGGGACGCGTCATCACCCAGCGTCCACAGGTGACGCTCGGGTTCCCGAGTTCGGACAAATGAGAATGACACGCGTCCACCATCACACGGTCACACAGAACAGTCTCACTGCCCTGAAACCCCTCTGTCCTCTGCCCGTCTTCCCCCCTCACCTCCCATCCCTGGAAACCACTCATCTCTTTACTGTCTCTAGCTTTGCCTTTTCCAGAAGGCCACAGAGCTGGAATCATCCAGCACAAACAAGCCTTTTCAGATGGGCCTCTTCTGCTTACTGATGTACATCTAAGGTTCTTCTACGCCTTTTCTTGGCTTGTGAGCTCATTTCTTCTTAGCGCCGATATCCCATTTTCTGGGTGGACTACAGTTTCTTATCCGTTCACCTACTGAAGGCCGTCTTGGCTGCTCCCAGGTTTTGGCAATTATGAAGAAAGCTGCCATCAGAACGTCCCCGTGCAGGTTTCTGTGGGGACATCTTTCCTCCCCCTTTGTGTAAGTACCAAGGAGTGGGGTTCCCGGGTCACATGGTAAGAGTATGTTTAGTTTTGTAAGAAATGGTGAAACCATCTTG